ATTTGATTGGCTGGCGCTGGCTACTCCGGCATCTCCGGCTGCAGAAGTTGAACATTGTTCAACTTCTGCAGCCGGAGACGGCGGAGACAGACCGCTATGCTACCCACAATTCAGTTCGGCGAAAAGCGGGGCAACGTGACGTCACCCCATTCAAAGTGAATGGGCAGACGCGTTGGAACCGTTTTTGAAGCTGTCGAAGCTGTAGTGTGGACACAGGCATGAAAAAAATCTTGAAAAATCTTGATGCTGGGCGTGTCTGAAGCTTGGCGATTTTTTGCGAGCAACGCGACAAACAACCAATCACATGAATCTCCCGCCCCCGACATACAAAGCAATAGCAATGCTAAAACGAAGTAAACTGGATATAAACTCCCCAAACAGGCGAAAACCTACCAGTTTCACCCACTGTCTCTGCCACCTCCCTCCATGCCTGGTTCCTCCGGTTTGTATCCCGGTAAATAGTTCTGGTCGTAAAGAACCGGGTGATTTGCTACCGTAATTTCTCGTTTGGAATATGAGGAAATGAACTGCGGTCTGGCTCTCCCAGCTTGCACGCGGTTTGATTGGCTAGCGCTTGCACTGGCGGGATTTGCATAAACGGGATTTGATTGGCTGATGCCAGCTTCGAAAGCATCAAGTTGAACATTGCTCAATTTTTGATGCTCGCAAAGCCATGCTCCGCTCCCCACAATGCAGTTCGGCGAAGATTACAAATCTTCTACGTCACCCCATTCAAGTGAATGGGCGAAGCTTTGAAAGATTTTTTTCATGCCTGTGTGTGGACGGGCCGTAGTCTTTAACAAATATTATGCTCTCTGCAATTTTATTATTACACGAATCCATTTTGAGATTTCGATGAAATAACCCCTTAATTATGCAGCTTTACTCCTAACATTATGTTGCCTCTGTTCTTATTAAATTGTCTTTACAGGTGGCTGACAGTCAGAGTTCGCCCAGTGCAGGTGAGCCGCGCGCCTCAGAGGATCTAACCTGTGACAAAGCAGCTCCTCGTGAAACTAAACTGCGAGAACCAGAAGACCGACCAGAGGACAGGTCCGCTAGTCCGCATATGAATGTAATAGTGAAGGAGGAGGAAGAGGAGGAACCTTTGTGTGGTACATAAACATGAGATTACACATTTCTCTCACTATCATTGTTTATCTTAAAGATGCCTGAGGTCTCAAACATCCTCAGAATGAAATACAAACCTTTTTCCTACTTTCAAGCCATTGATCAGTGCCTTGGTGTGCAATTTTATAAGTAAGTATTTAATATTAAGTGTTACGTTTTAAAGCAAACAAGACATTTACTCTGACCATCTGTATTTAAAGGTAATAGGTAATTCACTTCAGAAACACTTTTTGTTATATTCCATGGGATGCTCTTAACATCCCGATAGCAATGAATATATTAAATGCTTTGACAATAAATACATTTAGATTTTTTCCTGTTGTGTACTTTCAAATTCTAGCGCACTCGAGCTGGTTTCTCCATTCTTACCCACCCTACCTTTAAGTTCAGTTTTGCATTCAATCATTACACATAGACAGGATTAACATCCAGTGCCACTTTTTGACATTCCCAAACAAGAGATGTCTTGATTAGATAATCATGTGATTGCATGAAGGTACCTGAATGCACTGGTCAGTCTGGCATCTCAAAAGTAGTTTCATTAGCCCAAACACATTCAACACCTCCAACAAAAGTACAAACAACAATTAAACTGGAGTAATTCTCTGGCAATGTCCAATTTAGAATGCAGTCTTCTTGATATGGCTGAATAATCCCAACGAAAGCAAAAATAATAACAATAGGTTCCTCGCACGTAGCGCTAGGACGCTGTTGGGTCCTAGCGCTACGTGCTCGGGCCCTAATAAGTCCAAAGTTTCTCCACAAAAAGTTAATCCAATTCAACCGAAAACACTGAAAATCTCCAAAAAGAAGGGACTCTGGCAGCCGAAAAAGGGAAATAATATTTGTAATCTCTCTGGGCTTGTGATGAGTCGATGCTGGTCCTCGAGCTCTTTGGGTGTCAGCTCCTAAGGCAGCCCTATAGTATCCCCAACCTCCTCCACCAAAACCTTTTATTTCCCCCCTCAACAAACAATTCCCTCTCCCTTTGGGCCCGCCCCCTTTCCCTCACCTGTATCCAATGCACACCTGATTCCCCTGTCACTCCCTGAGGGAAAGCAGGAGGGGAGAGAAGGACCCACTAAATAGTAAGGACAGCAGTATATTTCTCTGTCACAACGTTTCCACTTTTTCTCTCCAAATAGCTATTTTGATACCACAATCAAAACACTAAACACTTTAATTATTACAATGTTGATGGTTTTAACATTTAGGTGTTCTCTTGTGTTTTTAGAAGAAGCTCCTGAGCAGCTTTCTAGCAGTGAGGATTGCACCATGCAGGAGGAAACTGAGGAGCAGCGTCCGGAAACCAACGCTGAAATTAGGATAACAGTAAAGGAGGAAGCAGAGGAACTTGTTAACAGTAAGGGAATTAAGTGGATTTCAATTTAAATAGCTAAGACCTTGGGTGTTTCTCAATGTCGAGCACGCTTCCTTGGTAGGACATGTCCCTCCGGGTCAGGTCCTTCAGAAGCGAGGCAAGAATCCTTCCTAGCCTCGGAAAACGAAGAATGGTGGAACAGGCTAACAGGTGTGCGTCATATGCGAGGCCCCACCTTAAATGGAGCGCGATTTCCGCCAAAGATTTTGGAAATTGGTCCATGCGCAAAGCATTGTGGGGATTTTAAGACCGCGGAGGATACACATGTGCATCCTTGAAATAGTGGCTCTGGAGCAGCCTTCCTCAACATTGAGAAACACCCCTTGTCTTTAATTCATTTGACTGGGACCTTGTTCTAGTAAATGAATTGGATTAATATGTGTTTTCCCTGACTGAATTCAGCCCACCCTTTTCTCTTTTTACCCTTTGTTCTTTGATGCTGAGTCTGCATCCACACTCATCTGGGTTATGCTGGAAACACTGGCCGTTTCTCAATCGCGAGGATGCTTGCTTGGTAGCACATGTCTTCCAAGTCACTTCCTTCAGAAGCTGGGCAAGAATCCTTCCTGGCATTCGGAAAACGAAGAGTGGAACAGGCTAGCAAGTGTGCAGGTGTGCGTCATATGAGAGGCCCCGCCTTACATTTTCCGCCACAGATTTGGGGAAATTGGTCCGTGCGCAAAGCATTATGGGGATTTTAAGGACCCATGTGCAGCCTCGAAATTACCCCCAAACCAAGGACGCGGCCTCGGTGGAATTCCATATGCTGGAGATTGGAACAGTCCTTCGGCGGCACTCGATGACGTAGTATGCTTGAAATATTGGCTTGGAAGCCAGTTTCCTCGAGATTGAGAAACGGCCACTGTTAGTATGAAATGTAGTGTCCAATGTCCAAGTGATTTTCTTTAAAGATTTCTGTCACACACAAACCTGTCATCACAGAGTCGGTTGGTTTAAAAAAGTGTTAAGGAGTTTAAATGGTTATTTTGGAAAGGATAGGAAAAATGTAATTTATTTTAGATTAAGCTAGCTAAGTAGCAGGCTTCTCATTTTTTGCCAATATTTTATTTGGCAGGATCATTCCCTGCAACTTAATTCTGAGTTCAAATACATCCTTGGCTTTGGTCTGGAGAATTCGCTTTTTATAAGCTGTTTTTATACTGTGTTTGTCTCACTACCAAAAGGTGGTTTCTAAGAAGAAGTGATAGAAAGTGGACTGTGTCTTCTTTCAGTTCACTCTGACTGACTCTTTGCTGTCTCTGACTGGTTTGAAAATGAGAACCCTGCACTTGTGGTTAGTGTTGATTTTATATTTCTTCTTAAGGCTCCTTCATTTCTAAACCATTTGACCACCTATGAATATTTTGACTATGAAAAACATAAACATACAAATATTCCTTTAGGGTATTACTAAACTGTGTAACCTTGCATCTTCTGTAATAAACCTTTTATTTCTATTTTATATCAGTGGAACACTCCTAAGATGAAAATCCAGCATTGTTCTGTTTAACTTTTGTTTAACTTTTACCCTTTAAGAAAGCAGTATAATAAATGAGAGATGCAGCATTCTTTCCTAAAACTTTACTATATAATGTCCGAAAATACATAAACAATTCTATTCACTAAGATGGTGTCTTAAAATGTGTTGTTTTTTTAAGTCCAAATCGTTTTGTCTTTGTCTTATATGATATCAAATAGAAGAATAAGAAAATCCTCATAATTGAGAGGCGGAAAACTGCATTTTATTGCAAATTATTTTTCTGCCGATCCACCAATCACTGCAGCTTTTGAGCCGCCTGTCCTAGGTGGGTCGAGACATTTGGTGCTGCTTTATTTGCCCTTACATAAACTTACATGCACTTCCCTACTTGACTGGACTTGAATTCACACAAATGAGTTGAAGGCTACTAAGTGGATCATTTGTTTTCATCTATCTCTTTTCAATCTCGTGTCATGTTGTTGGGAGCCGTGTCTTACCATCCACAAGGTTCAAATAAGTTATTTTCTTAAATCTTGGCTTTTTTTAACTCGTCATTTCTGTTTCCACAGTGTCTGGAGAGGATCCTGAACATGACTCAGACAGCGGTGGGGAAAGTCCTCCTGGCTCCCCGGGGCAGGAACAGGGTGACGATCTGACGAAGAGCTCGTTCTGCTGCGGGCTCTGCGGCAGAGACTGTTACAAGATGTCCGCTCTCCAGATCCACATGCGCATTCACTCTGGAGAGAAACCTTACCAATGCTCTCTGTGTGGGAAGCAGTTCACCCAGAAAGGTCAGCTCAAAGGTCACCTGAAGGTCCACACGGGAGAGAAACCGTTCTCCTGCCCCGACTGCGGGAAGAGCTTCGCCCACTCGGGAGCGATGAACCGCCACCGGCTCACACACACCGGGGAGCGGCCGTACCACTGCTCCGTCTGCGAGCGCAGCTTCAACCAGTCGGGACGCCTGAGGGAACACGAGAAGATCCACTTTGGGGAGAAGTTTGACTGTCCCCAGTGTGAAAAGAGTTTCACGAGAGCGTCGAGCCTCAAGAACCATTTCAGGCTCCACACGGGGGAGCGGCCGTACGGCTGCGACGTCTGCGGGAGAGGATTCAGCCGCTCGCAAAGCCTCCGCCTCCACAAGCGCAAACACCAGCAGACACACACCGAGGAGGACTCTGCGTTCAGTGGGAAGAACGAGGACTTATCACAGAGTGACGACAACTCCCCAATTAATATGTGTTTAGCGGACAAAAATGACTGATAATGTATTTATATAAACCATAGAGATATGTACCAGTAGTAGTGTGATTATACAACGATTTAAGGCAGGGAAACATGAGCGGAAAGAAGGGAAAGTAAGTTGAACTTTCACATAAAAAGCTAAAATATTTAACTCCAACACACACTTGTCAGGTGGTGTTCAGCAACTAACTACAGACAAACTGACCAAACTAATATTTACTACAAACACTTCCGTAGAAATCTTGGAAACTGTTCAGATGATACATTTTAGTGGACGTATTTACTCGCTTTTATCACACTCACCTATGTTAGTTGCGTCAAAATATCACTCCATTTAGAGTATTTATTGTAGTTCAAAAATCAAATTTAAGGTCTGTGATTTCAAATCTTTCCATGCAGTACTTGCCATTCAAAATAATGATGTGTGTGGTAATTGGATTAAAGAGTAATTTTGTTTTTGCATCAGACGTTACCAAGGCCAATGAGCAGTCTACGAATCAGGTGAAACTGGAATTCGTTCTTTGATTATGAGCTACCAAAATATAAAAAAAATGTAAATGAAGCAGTGAGATTATAATGTTCATCTGATTGTTTGCCAAAACCATTTTTGCCTTATTGTTGATTTATCTGTGTCTCTGTTTATGCTACTCAACAACCACGTTATGAGTCAGGTTCACCTGGTTTGGGAAAGTCTTAAGGCCAAGTAAGTAACTATTGTGAAAAAGAGAGTCATCCTATAAGGCTGTGAAACAGAAGGGTATAACTTCAAACCATGTCGATGGTAAATGTTGCCCGGTGCTGCCTCTGTCTAACTGTATTGGACATGTTATACTGAAGAATAAAAGTACTAAAGGCTGTTTTGTTTGCATATTTCTGACTGGAGGAGTTTATGTAATAGAGATACAAATATGCCTACAACAAGTCCTTCATATTTAATATATCAAATAGTAGAAATGCTCTTGTATTCTATTCAAAGGTGTACTGCAAAGGTAGTGCTAGCATTAGTATTAAGCCGAACTGTTTACTCTAGGTATTTTTCTAACTAAAGTAATACATTGTTTCAACCAATCTTACCTGGTTTCAACTCATCTTAAGCTAGTCCCTTTTCTGCTGGAGGTCAGGTAGTTTCTCCCAGAGAAAAAGTCATCTGTGAAATTAAGTAATTGATGTTTGACCCCCATTGTAGTGTATTTGCCTGAACCCACGCTGACATCTGCAGAAATGAGAACGAAGACATACTGGGGGCACATGAACAAGGTATATGTATTTTGTGTGAGAGTTAGTTACAACATATAGATACAGCAAAACTAGTCAGTTCATATTACATGGTTTTATAAAACAGAGCCAAAAACATGCCAGAAATAGGTAGTCTACATTGAATTTTGCCAGGCTATATGAAACACTTTAAACACATATGTTTGGAGCAATGATACATTTGACCATACTTGTTCCCAAAAGCTACTCACATTTTAATGTTGCTTTGCAGGCTTTCACAAAACATGAGCTTCCCCTGAAGTGTGGCTAGGGGACACCTGATTTAAAATCAAAACGATAAGCAAACAAGACCAATCATACATTAGTACTCTCTATATAGCATAACGATGACGACATAAGAATAACATGATCTTTGGAGTTAAATGTACTTTCGGAGAGTCCAACATGGAGATAGTAAAGGGTTCTTCAAACGGAAGTTCCGTAAATTACGAGGTGCATTGAACGGGACATGAAGATAAACAGACGCACATCATGCGGCAGAAGAAGGTTAGCAACGCTACGGATTATTTAGCTAACGATACATGTATTTAAAGGTAACATTTTCCTCCGTGTGCTGCATATTTTCCGTCTCTAAGTCTAATAATATCCAGGTAAGCGTGTCTGATGTTAATGCCCTTGTCAGCTCACGTTAGCTAAAGTTACACAGCTGTTAAAGTTAGCTAATGCTAATAACCGTTGCTACAACAACGTCTAGGGCGACTAACGGTCAAACATTAACGGCTTCTTGTAACTATGATATTGTGTCAGCAGTAACAGCTTTTTATTAAGTGATCAAATGTCTCCCTGGTGAACTTTGACATTCACATGTTTTTTCTGTGTAGCTAAAGTTAGCCACATCATGTTGAACATAATGTGCAACAGGCCATATCAGTGTGGGCCTCTTCGTACCTGAATGTTACATAACAACAACCAGAGGTGGAAGAAGTACTCAGATCTTGTACAAAAGTATTAGCATAAAAATGTGCTTAAAGTTCCAAAAATAAAAGTACTCACTATGCAGATTGGTCCATTTCAGAATAATATATATGATTTGTTTTATAATTATTGATCATTAAAGTGTTATCAAAGCTGGTAAAGGTGCGGCTAGTTTGTATGACTTTGTATACTGCAGGGTAGCTGGTGAATTTACTCCATGTGGAAATAAAGTCTGATTATAGTATAGTAGTTGATTATATTTCACATAATAATCCAAATCTTCAAAGTAACTAAAGGCATGAAATATATGTAGTTGAGTATTAAAATGAAACCATCAAAATGAAACCATCAAATCAAAGCAACACTAATTTTCACTTCCCTGAAATCCAAACAGCAGGAAATGATTCTGGCCATTTGACTGACCTTTGATCTGCTCTCTCGCTCTCTTTCTGCCTCTCATGTGTTCAGGCGCTCACTTTGACTAACACACACTCTCAGGATGGTGTCGTACAAGCTGCTGAACCCTGAAGATGTGCAGTTTTCCAGTGCCGTTCTGTCCGAAGAGCCGGTCCGGGAAGAACATCCAGTGAGTTTATTTCTACTTCTTCCTCTGCCTCCAACACACGGCACACAGTTTTTTTTAAAGTGCAAATGATTGGTTCCTTTCTGTGATTTAAATCCTTTCTGCAGAAACGTCCTGCTCTTTCTTCTGGCGGCTAATTTTTTGTGGCATATTTGACATACTACATGCAATGCTCTCATTATTTGAGATAGTTTTATCTTCCTAAACGCTGAATGTCCTTTCCTACTTTCAGCTTCTCAATTGTGAGAATTTGCTGCTTTTCTTTGACCTAATTGATAGGAACTAAATGTTTGTTGGTTTTGGACTGTTAGCTGAAGAAAACAGGACATTTGAGACAACAAGCTTGGCTTTAAAGGTCCCATGTCATGCTTTTCTAGTTATTACCCGTCCCCTTGTGTGTTATGGAGCTTTTTCTGCATGTAAACGGTCTGCAGAGTCACAAACCCTCAAAGTACACCCTGTAGCGAGTAAAACTTTAACACAGTAAAGACCCGTCCATGCTGCCCCAGAACGCCTCGTTGGGGATTTCTCTTTTTCCATTGTTTACTTCTTGGTTATAGTGACGTATTTGGGTATAGTGACGTTATTTCCGCGGAGCCGTTACGTTTTGGGCCAATCCGCGGACTTCCTCACACACACACACACTCGGCGGGACGTTGCGAGGCTCGCTGCTGCGAGGAGAGGGACACTGTGAGCCGGCTCACTGGTGTGGGGTCGGCGAGACAGCGAGACACCTAGACACCGCGGAACTCAGCCTGAGCACACACACAAACTCCCAGCCAGGCTGCGGGTGTGTGTGTGTGTGTTCGGGCTGGGTTTCGCTGTGTCTCGCTGTCTCACAGACGGCCACTGGGCTCACAGGGAGGGGGGGGGGCAGGAGCTCCAACAAGCCGTGTAGGACAGAGAGTGAATACACATACTATACAGAGATGCTGTATGAGAAACAAATGTGCGTTTGGAATATTGCACAATATACATTTATTTTAGTAGACCTTGGGGGACCTTTAAAGAAGTTGTACATTGAATTTTTCACAATTATTTTCAATTTTGAGAACAAATAAGTGATTGATCAAGAAAATAATTAATGATTTTATAAAAACAAACCAGAGCTCACAGCCATAGTTTTTTTCTGTTATTGTTCAAGAAGATGTTTTCCAGTAAATCAATGGAGAGCTGATAAAAGTGTATCCAGGTTCGACCTGTTGTCTTTGAAAATGTTTTTAAGTTGCACTTTAGGCTGCTTTAGGATTGTTTTTTTCCGCCTGTAAACGAGAAGAATTTCTGCATAATTTGGGTCTGTGACGCTCAAAATATGTATTTCATAATTAACTAAATAAAAAAAACCTCACTGTTGGGTATCCATACTGAGAAGGATCAGCCATTATTATTAGTATACATTTGTTGAATGGTTGCCATTTGGTGCTTTTTCCAGTTTTGATTATTTTATTTCCTTTTTGTTTTTCCAATATCCCATTTTAGATTGTCCCACATGTTGTTTGTGTTTTGAGTCTATACCACACTGCTGTTGCTGCCTGTTTTATACACTCTTGAAAAATACTAAAATATATGTAAGATTCAAAGGTTTTATCATCATATGCTCAGCAGCTACAGTGTAGAAATGGCCATGAAATTCTTCTGACCTGAGCTCCTCCAACAATGCAACTATATATATAATAAAATACAAAAATACAAAATAAAAAGTAGTGCAAAAAGTCTATACATGTCAATAGAATATGAAATTAAATAATGTAAATGAAGACAAAATTAAATACGGTTTATTGCGGTGATAACTATTTATATAAATGAGTATATTGCAAGATGACAACAGGAATGTTTGTCGGGGCACTTAACAGAGCTCAGGTATAGGATAGTTTCCCCATACCTGGAAAGGAATCAGATGTTTTTCCTACAGTGTAAAGTATTTGATTGTGTTCCTCTTGGTTTCTTCTCTGACTGTGCTTCCTGTTTATTTCCCTTGTTGTGTGTTTAGGTGCGTGAGCCAGAGGAAGCGTCGCTGCTCCCTCGGCGCCGTGGCTGCTCCGGCACCACGGCGCTGCTGGTGATCGGCTGCCTGCTGCTGCTGCTCTGTGGAGGCTGGGTGCTGGGCACCATGTTCTGGCTGCACCGTCCCTCCAGCACCCAGCCGTACAGACGTCCGTCACCGGCCTCTGGACACGCTCCAGACTCTCGAGTAGAAACGGGAGTAAACGACACTGCAGCAGCCGTTTCCCGCCGCGAGGCCTGCAGCTTAATCCCCGAGGCGTGGAGGTTCGACTGCTACCCAGAGAGAGGGGTGGTTGTGACCCGAGAGCTGTGTGAGGCGAGGAACTGTTGCTTCATCCCAGCATCCTCTCCCTCCTCCTCTGCATCCCGCCCATCAGGGAGGAACGGCATCCCGTGGTGTTTCTACCCCGAGGACTTCCCTTCATACTCGCTTGTGTCGATGAATGACACATCGCTGGGACAAAAAGGGACGCTCGTACGGGAGGTGAAGACCTACTACCCTGCGGACATCCTCACTCTAGAGGTGGAGATACGACACGAGACGGACTCAAGACTACGAGTCAGGGTGAGTGGGTGCGGGAGTGAGCGTTCAGTCGTATTTGTACAAGTTACTCAGCATGCACTTGCAGTTTTTGTACAGGAACTTAAAGAGGACATTATCTGTTCATTGTCAGGTTCATATTTGTATTTAGTGTCTCTCCTGTGACATGTCTCCACGCTTTAATGTTCAAAAAGCTCTTTATTTTTCTCATACTGCCTGTGCTGCAGAACCTCTTTTCACCCTCGGTCTGAAACCAGAGCCCAGTCTGCTCTGATTGGTTAGCTGGCCGGCTCTGTTGTGATTGGTCAACAGCTTAGAGATGTCCCGCCCCTTAGGCCTATCCACGTGCAATGGTTGGGAGTGTATCCAATAAAGTGCGAGTGTAAATTGTGATGATCAAGTAGTAACACAAAGGAGCCGAACGGAGCGCTTTCACGGGAGGGGGGGGGGGGTGTGTGTGTAACTTTAGACCATTGAAATCCACAAAAACCTACAGTATGTAACACACAACAGGAAAGGGAAGATATGGCCTCTGAGAAATGGCATTTATTGTCCAATGAGATCAATGCCAATCCTTTGATTACAGCAGGTGGAGATAAAGCTGTCATAAACTGGAATAGGTCAGTTGATATCATTTTTGTTTCACACCGTTACATAACCATCTTTATTTTTCTCATGTTTCGCAATCTAGATTACCGACCCGGCTAATTCTCGGTTCGAGGTTCCCATCTCCGTTCCCGCTGCCACGAAGAAAGCAGACAGTCCAGAATACATCGTGGAGATTTCCAAGCAACCGTTTGGTCTCATCGTGAAGAGGAGATCTACAGGAGCAGTGCTGTAGGGCTTAAATAGGAAGCGTTAGGATAAGAAAGAAGGATGTTCACAATCTGATATTAGTATGTTGAATACAAGATAAAACACATTTCATTGTAAGAATAATCGAACAGTGATTATGGCTCAATGATATAAAGAAAATCATATATCAAAATTGTCCTATCAATATCGATATTTTGACAATATTGTGGGGTTTGAGTTGATTTTTTTTTTTTTTTTCGAACGTGTAAAACAATAATACAAAAATATATATTAAATTATTATACTGTACAAACTCAAGCAGGGTAAAATTGATGAACAACAAATATGATTGACTTACAAATAGTTAATGTAAACTTTAACATTGATGCTTTCACAACATATTTACACAATGAGAATAGTGTTGAAGAATAATTCTCAGTAATGTGGATGTATTGACTAAGTGGGCAAATAATACACTTATTGCATTCTTACACAGCCTGTAAAGCCAAGAAAAGACATCAGTTAGTTAGGACATTTCTACGATATCAGAAAGCTCCGTTAACATTTATAATGACCTCCATAAAATATCGTTATATTGCCCAGCCCTATAGATAATAATAATTAACATGATATCACTCTCTCTTCCCTCTGCAGTCTGAACACCACGGTGGCTCCTCTCCTCTTCGCGGATCAGTTCCTCCAGCTCTCCTCCTCCCTGCAGAGTCAGTTCATCTACGGGCTGGGAGAGCATCGATCCTCCTTCCTGCACGACGTGCACTGGAACACGCTCACCATGTGGGCCAGGGACGTGCCCCCCACGGTAGGAGAGGCCTGTTTATGTCACTCTTCTGCTTATAGTTTGAGTTTTTGGGCAAGACGGTGCCTTTAATTCAGATGCAGTGTTGAAAGGGGGAGAGAAGGAGATGCAATTGTTAACACATTTTAGCCGCACACAGATATTAACATTCAACTGATAGGACTTTTATTAGGTTTTCAACATGATATCAAATCAATAAACTTATAATAATGATAATAATAATCAATTTGATTTTTAAGCGCTCTTTTCATTTGAGTAAACAAAACTCAAAGTGCTACAGAGTGAAATGGTTCAAACCAAACTACAACAAAATATATATTTAATAAAGTAAACAACAAAATAAAAACAGTGACGTTTAGGCCGGCATGGCAACAAGTTGGGGTTTTAAAGGTCTAGCAAAAAGCTATTCTAAAAAGATGTAAAACAAGCCCCCAGGAAGTGCGCCGGACTCTGACGAAAATATCCATTGTGTCCAAACGGCGATACTACAACTTCCGTATCAGTCCGTGACGTCACCCGGCCCAGAAAGACTTTTCCCCATTGACTAACATTGGGAAAGAAACGTCTGTAAATCAGCGGATACTTTTTTAAAAACTAAATAAAGTACCCAGTATGAACTATTTTATAACCCTTATTAGAATCATTAAGTCCTTAAAGTTGTAAAATGCACCAAAAGCCGAATCTAGATGTATTTTCTGTCTCCATTCTTTCTACTGAGCCGAGAGTGGGAGCTCCGGGGGTGGGGCTTAAGGGGCGCATGCTCTGTGAGCGCACATACGGGTTCTTCTGCTCTGGCAGCCAGGCATGACGGGTAATCTGTGACGTTTCGCTCTCTCAAAAGTTGGACCATTTTGTCCTCATGCGCCAATGAGCAGCTTTCATAGGAAAGAACGAGACCCCGCCTGCCACGCTGTATCCAGTTCTTATTATACATCCATTGTGCAAAATTGTTAAAACCAAACAACAACAAAATATATATATTTAATAAAGTAAACAAAATAAAAACAGGGACGTTTAGGCAGTCATGGCAACACGTGGGGGTTTTAAAGATCTAGTAAAAGGCTATTCTAAAAAGATGTGTTTTTGAACAACATGAAACACCCTTTAATTTACTGCAACATGTCGGGAAACGCCCCTCAAGGCGGCCCCATGCATAGCGCACCGTGAAATGCTGCTTCTTATCTTAAGTTTCGTTGCCTTGCTCCGCTCCGGGGGGCTGAAAAGCTGGTTCGAGGGGCCCCCAGTGAATGTTTGCCTAGGGCCCCCCCCACACTCTAGAATCGGCACTGATTATAATTATATAGAAATAGACATGATACAAAAAGTATGAATGAACCAAAACCTCAACCAAAAAAATAAAAATAAGTTAACTTAAATAAATACATTAAATGAAAAGTAATGCATAATTAATACTTTTTTTTTTAAAATAAAAAATAAAAGAAGAGGGGTAAAGCGTGAAAAATATCTGTTAAGGAGTTACATTGGGAGTTAAATTGAATCTGTAGTTATATAATATTCAATAATTGTGTTCCGCTCTTTAATATAGGAACAGACCAACCTGTATGGAGCTCATCCATTTTACCTGGCCATGGAGGAGGGGGGGGACGCACACGGCTTCTTCCTGCTGAACAGCAACGCCATGGGTCAGTCAGGTTCCACTACGTGCACTCACACACATCAGCAGCTGATTCTTCCAGTGTTGCGACAGGATGAAGCAATACAAACAGAAGCCTCTGTGTCACAGAAGCACGAGTTTCATTCAATATAAACTGCCCAGTGTGGTGCAAAGAAGTCATTTGGAGGTCAGGCTGTATTTTTAAGATACTAAGCTTACGGAAAGGTGGAATTGATTTGTGAACTAAGTCAAAGTTAAACTTCATTGATTTCATTTGAGCCCGAAAAATAAGGAATGTTGAAGATTAGCTTTTAATGCTATATTGCAGATATTTTTTCTTTATATCAATTTCCATCTGTTTTTTACTAAACATCTAAAATATATAAAATATGTGTATTTACTCATTATTTCCTGTGTAAAATATTTTATTTATTTGCTTTTTTTTCATGGATGTGAGTTTCTCCTGGATCCCTTATCGTAGATCATTAAGATTTTAATCAGCAGTGTCTCTGTTCCTCAGATGTGGCCCTGCAGCCGGCCCCCGCCCTCACCTGGCGCACCATTGGAGGAATCCTTGACTTTTACGTCTTCCTCGGGCCTGATCCTGCTTCAGTGATTGGACAGTATGTGGAAGTCATCGGTCAGTAAGAGTCTTCTTGGATGTAGTATTCGTTTATTTGGGAAAATGGGTTGCAGCACATCACAAAGGCATTTAAAAAGATTAGAAGTACGTCACTGACAACAACATAGACACAGATAAAAACCAACAGACATAAAAAAAGAACAGATATTGGCAGACATGACTATCTCATTTGCAAA